CTGCCCTTCAGTGGGAAGCAGCTACCAAGCCTCCAGAGACGGCATCGGTTGAAGAGAAGTGGACTGAGAGGGGGATAAGTCCGGGTACCGACTACCCAAAGCTCTACCATACCTAGTTGAAAAACACCCTGAATTACGATTTTGTTTCATGTCTTGTAAATACGTTGCTTTATATTTCTGTTTTGACCTGACGGAGCATTACTCAGCCTCAGTGGTACCCTCTTTATTTTATTTTATCTTACTTTAGCACACCTTTAACTAGTCTCACTGCCAGTTAGCCTGATGACCAATTTACTAGGCCCAGACCGATCTCACCTCTATGTGGCTGAAAGCATTTTCCACACACACAGATAGGGCAGCCAAACTGGAACACTTCCTACTTGGCAGCTCCAAAACAAAGCAGAAATGGAATAAGGATAATCTTTTGCATTAACACACTTCACCTAATATCTAGATAACCTCACCTACCAGGAATGTTGATGTTGTAATCGTATTCTAGATAGATCTCACAAGCTTGTTTATAAACCTGTTATTATACACTTATAAAAATGAGTGCAAGACTAACTCAGTGCCTTATACCGTGTAAGCTATGTATCCTGACTTTCTTGTTTAATGCTATTGTGGCATGACATGCTGTATGTAATCACCTGCACTACAAAAATAAAGAATTAAAAAATTTTTTTGATCATCCTCTAAACTTAAAATAAGGTACAGAGGGTGAAAAGGCAAAAGAGAAAGGGGGAGAGGAAAGGAAATAGAAGGAATAGGGAAAAAAATGATAGAAAATTAATTAAGAAGGATTTTTTTTTCACTAAAGCACAATTTATTAAAACTTTTTTTGGATCTAAATGATCCAACTGTAAATAACGAAAAAAGGGTATGTTTGATAACAATATTCATACTTGATAGGTGAATTATTTTGGATAATAATTATAAATAATACAGATAATATATATATCATAATTGGTTATATTTGATGGGTCATTATTATCATAGTATTTGTGAACAATAGATGGGTGTTCTTATACACAATTTATTTACAAAGGTATCACAATTAGTTGATAAGCACTTCTTTACTACCCAAAAAGAAAGAAAGTTAATAATAAATGAGTATCTGTTTGTGCCATGCAATGTGGTTTAAATTTTATTATCAAATCTATTTCAGTTTATACTGGAAGACTGCTAAAAAAAAAATTCAGATCTCTATGATCTTAATGTACATTATATGTAAAATCCTACTCCTTCTCGGCTGAATATCTATATTTGTTAGCTCAACATTCTAAAAATTTTTTAAATCTATGAAAATGTATATATCATAATTGATTATACTTGATGGGTTATTAAAATCATTGTATTTGTGAATAATAGATAGGCGTCCTTATCCACAATTTATTCACAAAGGTGTCATAATAGTTGATAAGCACTTTTTCACTAGTAAAAAAGAACGTTAATATATAAATGAGTATTTGTTGGGATTCTTTATCATGTTGTTTAAAAATTACTATTAAACCTATTTTGGTTTATATTAGAAGACTGTTAAAATCTTTTTAGATTTTAATGATCTTAATGTACATTACATGTAAAATTCTATTTCTTCACGGCTCAACATCTATATTTGTCAGCTTAATAGTCTGAATCTTTTTAGATATATATGATCATAATGCACATTATATGTAAAAAAAAAAAAAAATTTTACGGTTTAACATCTATATCTGTCAGCTCAACATTTTGGATAAAAATAACGAACAATAGATAAATGTGGGGGTTTTTTCACTCTTTTTTGTGCTTATATAAAGATATAATTGACAATTGCTAAAATATTTGGATGTAGGATAAAAATAGGGGGCCAAATGTATTAATGTTTTTAGTTTGTTTTTTTATATTATTGATTTAACCTCTAAGGGACTGTGCTGCATCTATAGTCTGAATCTTTTAGTATGCGATTAACCTCTAAGGGACTGTGCTGCACCTCCTCCCTTTGGTTGCCACACCTCTTTGTGTAGTTTTACTACATTGTTTTTGTATAGCTCAATGAGCTCTTACGGATTTAATAGAACTTTGTTCTTGGGTAATTGTTTATTCTATGTTTGTATGAGACCACTTTTTGGTCCCACACTCGGGGGTGTTTATTGTATAGTTTTTTGTCAGAGCAGGAGAGTTTCAAATAAAACTGTTATATTATTTTTATGTTAAAGTTCCTATCCTTAAATGTATAAGGTTTAAATACTAATTGCAAAAGAAACAGGTTGTATAATTCATTAATGGAACAAAAAATCCAAGTGGCCTTCATACAGGAAACCCACTGGCTTTGCGAATCTCAACAAAAATGGGGAGGTTCAAACTTTACAATGATATTATTCAGGCCTCTTTAGTAGATAAAAGAAAAAGAGGGGTAGCAATCATCTTTAAGAACGATTTAAAACTCAAAATCATCCACTTAGAACGAGATAGCGATGCCTGTTATATTATTTTGGCGTGTAATATAGATAACAGGATATATACCTTGGTTAATGTGTACCTCCCTAACATAGACCCCATGGCTACATTCTCACGTATAATGGACAAAATATCCAAAATTATTAAGGGATCATTAATAATCGCAGGTGATTTTAATTGTGTTGCCAATGTTAAACTTGACAAAACATATATTTCTCCTAATTCTCAAGACAAAAGAGCTTCCAAACAAGCCAAAAAGTTACAACATATCTCTAAATTATATAACATCTATGATGTTTGGAGAATATTTCATCCATTAGAGAGAGATTACTTTCATTTGTCTAGGTCTCAAATTACGTATTCCCAGATAGATTATTGTTTAACCAATGCTAATTCGATCCCCCTCTTTAAAAAAGTAACAATTAAGGAAAATCCCTGGTCCGATCATAGTTCTATTCTGATGGAAATAGGTCATAATCAATCACCGGGTAGAACCACATGGAAGTTGAATGATGCACTTATTAAAGATGTTAAGAATAGGGAGGATCTGACAAAATTATTAACATGTTTTTGGGAAGAAAATCGTTCGGTGGATACTTCCCCAGCGATAAATTGGTGCACGCATAAATCCGTCATGAGAGGATATTTAATTAAATTGGGTCATAGTAATAAAAAAAAAATGGGGGGACTTTGTCTGACTTGTATATTGAATTTTATAATCTTTCAACTCTAAACAAAAATCATTCTACCCCAGAATTAAAGTCTCGATTAAATAATATACAAAAGAGAATCAACCTTAAGGAGGAAGAAAAAAATCAGGATGAATATAAATAAATTAAGGCTCACTAATTATTATACTGGTAATAGGGCTAATAAAAATCTTACAAAGAGATTACAAAATCAATATGCAAAAAATAGGGTGGACCATCTGGTAGATGGTCAAAAAATCTACTCCACCCCAGAGCAAATTGGAAAAAAATTCAACAAATTTTATGAAGAATTATACAACTTGAAGTTGAATCCAAAAACTACCGACATTAGAGACTACCTATCTAACATTTTGATTTCCAAATTGACTGATCAAGATTTGATAATGTTAAATAAAAAAGTCTCTCTAGAAGAATTTCAAATAGATAAATTACCCACAAATAAAAAAAGCCCTGACGGCTTCATAAATTTATATTATAAGTATATGAAGCTTTATTTGATAAAACCAGTAACGGAATTGTTCAATGAGATGGCGGAAAATAAATCTATCCCCAAAGAACTTCTTTAATCTAATCTTATTCCTATACTAAAACAAAACAAGGATAGCTCAAATCCCTCAAATTATAGACCTATAGCATTGATCAATGTAGATATGAAGCTCCATTCCGCAATAATTGCTGAGAGAATTAAAATAAATTATAGCTAAAATAATTAATCCCGATCAAATTGGGTTTATCCCAGGAAGATTGGCCTCAAATAACGTTAGAAGACTACTAGACGTATTGGATAGGGCCCATAGACAAAAGATGCCCCTCCTGGCCCTGTTTTTGGACGTGGAGAAAGCGTTCGACAGGGTCGGGTGGGGTCATTTAGCAGAGCTCTTGACGGCTTTCGGCTTTAAGGGCTGGATACGCAATGCAATTTTGGCTTTGTATTCTACCCCTTCCACCAGAACAGTCGGACCCAATATGTCTGAAGGATGGTTCAACCTTCGAAATGGTACAAGGCAGGGGTGTCCTATATCTCCATTACTATATATTTTATCACTTGAGCCTGTATATTAGAAAGAATCCTTTTATTAAGGGTGTTCCGATAAAAGATAGGGATTTAAAGATTTCTCTATATGATGATGATGCATTAATTACTCTTTCCTCTCCAGAAGATTCTCTAGTACACTTAATGCAGGAGATTGATAACTATTCCAAGGTCTCAAATTTCAAGCTAAATATTGTGAAATCGACGGCCCTGCATATGAATATAGACAAACCAATTATAGAGAGGTTATCTCATATATATATAATTTTATTTGGACTAAAAACTAATTAAATTATTTAGGTTTAATTATCCCTGCAGATGTTAATACTACAATGGAGAGGAATATATTAAATCTAATGAAAAATACAAACTTGAATTTAAAAAAATGGAAAAATTTGGAAACCTCTTGGTTGGGTAAAATAAATATTAATTCATATAAACTGCCAAAGTGGTCATATATTTTTTTTTCTATGATCCCGCTCAAAATTTCAAAATCTTGGCTGATAATGATACAAACAAGTTTTTCAAAGTTCATTTGGAAAAATAAAACTCCCAGAATTAGTTAAAAAATCGTATCCAAAAAACTATCAAAGGGAGGCTTAAACTTTCCAAATATTATCTATAATTATTATGCCAATATGATTAGACATATACACCTATTACAAGATCCCTTGTTGACCCAAGAACCATGGTTTATTATAAAGTCTGAAGCCTCCCATATCTCGAATTTACAATATCTTATGTGGACTCCTGGTAGGAACAAAAGAAATATGTTTCAAATTAATTCTACTCTTTTAGCACAATCTTTAGAAGTCTGGGAGGAAATTAAAAAAACTTTGGGCTTTCAGCAATTAATACCTAGGTCGTGTAGACTTAAGATATTAGAGATAAATATTGATGACCTTCTTTTGATCCACTGGGCAGATACTGAAAAACTAAGGATTTCCGATCTTATGTTGGGCGATAATTTTATGCCTTTACAACAGATTGTTGATACTTTTCATATACCATCTAGGGAAATTTTTACCTATCTCCGAATCAAAATTATATTGATAAGAATGTTATAAAAAGTTCTTCTCCACTTGCTATGCATTTAGAATATATTTTTAATTATAGGTCCCTAAACAAGGTCACTTCGGCCGCAAACTGTTTGGTAGATCTCCTAACTATTATTCCCCATAAACTCATCAAGACATGGGAAAAAGAGTTAGAAATCGAGATTTCTGAGGAGGACTGGTGTATTTTATTAACACATATTAGCAAACATATTCACTGTTTAAACTTGGTAAAATGCCATTTTAAACTTCTTTACAAATGGTATTTCACCCCAGTAAGAATAGCTAAAATGTATGAGAGCTACGATCCCACATGCTGGAGATGCGGTAGTTTTACAGGGTCATATATACACATTTGGTAGTCCTGCCCGGCAGTTCGTCCTCTAAGGTCTTGGGCCTTTCATGTTTTTAAAAAATTGTCTGATAGTAGACTAGAACAAAATCCGGCAACAGCACTTCTGCATTTAAATTGGAATTTTAAATCTCTAAAAGATTGTTCCATAGCCACCCACTGTTTAGTGGTTGTAAAAATCATAATTGCCAGAAACTGGAGATCATCTATTCCGTTCCAAAAATCTCTCTTAATTAATCAAATTAGATTCCAGTTGGTAATGGAAAAAGGCTTAATACATAACATAGGTCTCCGTTCTAAAAAGAAAGAGAAAATATTTATTCCGAACTATTATTAAAATTTTCCCAAATATACGGCTAATCTTTATTTCCAGACACAATTACTCTAGAGAATCTTTATAGGTTAGCCAATACAGTAATTAATAGGTGTGTGTATATATGTATTAGAGATAAACGGGGTGGTATAGACTTATAAATGATGGTAATGGAATATAAATCCTTGTAAGTTTGATGGATAATAAAGTTGGTACAACATAAAAGGAATGTTATCCTGCTCTGATAGGGTGTGGGTTTGTCTTGTTAAGTAAATGCCATCCGACTCTCCCCTAGTCTTGCATCTTTTAAGAAGTGCCTCAAAACCCATCTCTTTAGGAAAGCTTATGGCCTCCAAGACTAACCCCTACCTTACATACCCGTCTCTTGCCCTCTCCTAAAGGGCAGCCCACCTTATTTGATTGCACATTCCTGTCCTAATGTGTTTTACACCCCACCTCCTATAGAATGTAAGCTCGATTGAGCAGGGTCCTCTTCAACCTATTGTTCCTGTAAGTTTATTTGTAATTGTCCTATTTATAGTTAAATCCCCTTTCATAATATTGTAAAGTGCTACGGAATCTGTTGGCGCTATATAAATGGCAATAATAATAATAATAATAATAATAAATGTCTTGTGTTGTCTATATCCAATATCATTGTCTCTTCGATATATTATAATTCTGCTGTATTGATATTTCTTAATTATTTACATTGACACAATATATATAATGATTTTTTTTATTTGTTTGTTTATGAAAAAAACATCTTAATAAAGATTTATTGAAAAAAAACACACTGAAACATAGTTTCTTGCAAACAATCTACTCCTAATCTATTTCTAATAAAATAATCCTATTTTATGCATTACAACATTAACTCAAAATAATGTGTTGTTGTGAAGGTAGTATATGGAGAATTTATTGTTCATCTATAGTATCTCAACCAATCCTTCTAAAATGTCTTTATTTTAAGTGATGTTGGCAATGCTTTGTAGATAATTTTAACTTTAATTTCCTACTTCCATAAAAGATGTAACATAATTTTAAACATAAAATCAAGCTATTTTATAGCCCTTAACGTTACTCATTTTCTGACACATTATAGCTTTAATTAAAAGTTCATGAGTTAATTAAAATCTTGATCAATGAACTTATTTTGCATCAGTGTCATATTTGCTTGTGTTCTTTTTTTATTACCGTGCACTCCATTTTGACTTGACGTATATGTTAATGCTGCATTTAGATACACTTGTTTATTTGTTACAGAAATTTTTGAGCATATTCTGTTTGATGCAAAATATGTAGAACTAGTTTAGCCTCAATTTCATACATATATTCTAAAAAGAAAACTAAACATCGTGAAAGTGCTAAGCTTTCTACTGGGAGCACATTTCCATGAAAAGTAAAGGTGTAGTTCTCAGGCCTCCAATTATCTCAAAAAGCTGGATTTACTCTCATGGATATAACTCTCATTTCCTTTTAGGATTTTCTTTGTTTTTGATGTTTAAGATGTGATGTGAGATGATGATCTGAGATAATTTACCCTGTAGCTTCACCATAAACCCAAAATGTTAGTATCTATTATTTTACCAGGCTTACTTTGTACTAAAGAGTGAGTCGTGGTTGTTGCACAATCTGCTTGTAAAATATTGGCCAATTCTAAAGTTCTAAATTACATTTCAGTTGCATAACTTAATAAGTCATCTAAAATGTCTTCATTACATCCCACCACTTGGCAACCCCACACACCCTTATAATTAAAGTGTCCTTCTTTGTAAATTTGCAATGTTCTGTGGTATGAGCAAGCTGGGTGAAAAGAAAGGTGAATTCAAAAAGAGAGTACCTAAATATCTGAAGAAACAAATGATATATGCTACAGATATGGGCAACTTGTATCATCCCACTGTTGATGTATACAACACACTTGATCATCCTCATCCCTGTTTGCAGTAACTATAATAGCAGAGCAAGTAGAACTAGCATTTTATCAAGCTATATTAATGGTGGAATTATCTGATACAATAAAATAAGTGTATATATGGTGAAAAAAACAATATAAGACAAAGTGCTACAATCACCAGCAATGTGGGTCACTCCACCTCACATAAATAAATGGTTAAAACAGTAAAGAATTGTAAAACAAAATTTTTCAATAAAAAGTATTAAGAAAAAAAAAAAGAATGGTGAGAGCACAGAGGAACAGTAATTACCCTTATAATATAAAACATATTCATGAGGCACTTAATATGGAAGCTGGCCACTTAATATTGAAGCTGGCTTTACCACGACATAATCCATCCCAAAATAGGGAAAGTCTGCTTAAAATGCTGCAAGAGACTCTCCTCCAAAGTATGCTTTCCTGTGATCACTTCCAAAGGAGCACTTAGAGTAAAAGGGTGGGGTGCTCAATCCAAAATCAGGTCAAAGCTGACTGAGGGCAGTTGAAGCAGCAATGGAGGTCAGAATTATCTGATAGTTGACATACACATAGGATTATATTAATTAATTTTTCCAGCACTGCAATTTTGTCCTTCTCTTTGATAAATCATTAGATCTTGCTATCTGGTGAATAGACCCTTTAGAAGTGCTAGTATATGTGACTAGATAGAATATAGCTACAAGAGGGAAATTAGATTGTAGAACTTTTAAATAATATGGATGGAATAAGTTAACCTGAATTAAGCTTCCAGATAATAAAAAGATGTGTCCAGCAATGCCGTCTCTACAAGTAGGCCGTGGGGAGGCAACCCGACATGCCCAATGTCTCTACCTGCATGTTTCTCCAGCATTTAACTGCCATAACGTTCAATATGTTAGAAATGGGAGATCAAACAGTGTCTCCTGATCAGCCCATCCAAACTTTACTGCAAGAGAGTAGAGTGTTTCTTAATGCTCCAATGGCAGCGACAGTCTCAGGGCTTCTTTGTAGCCCAGCATGGAGTACAGTCTTAAGAGTGCCAGGAAGAGGAGAGATAGCATTTTATGCTCTTGATATTCTTGGTTCTATGATGAAAGCTGCAAGTACCATATGCAAGTGTATGTCTTGTTGTTTTTGTAGAAGTACGATACTGGAGCCCTCCTTATTTTTGTCTATCGAACTTTTGTGATCATCTACACATGATTCATAGATATGCCACTAAATAAAAAGTGTGCAAATAAGGTCTTTTTCCACGTGAGAAGAGCCAAAGTCAATGAATTAAGACTTTGTGGTTCCATCATATGGGATGAGTTCAAAGTGAGACACTAATTCCTGTTACATGTCTACAATAAAGTTTCTCAAACATCAAATCCAGTCACCCTATGATTTTTTTTTAACTCAGTCTGAAGACACACAGCATTGCCTCCTCTTTTACATCACACCACAGAGACGAAGACCCGGGAATAGCAGATGAGCATGCACCTTCTGTCCAATCAATGCTAGCAGCTGTTAGGAGAAAAAGTCAGTGAAACTGCATCTGTGATAATCCACGAACAAAAAGTGTTAAACACAAAGAGGTGTTAAACAAAACTACTTGGATTACAAAAATAATAATATAAATAGTTAAAATTAAAATATAAACGTTAATAAAGTAAATGAAAAATACATATTTTCAAATTGTATTATACCCTAAAAGTTATTTAGTTGTGTGTACGTCTACTCTGCACAAGAATTAGTCCATTACAAATACAGACATTAATATTTGTTTTTCCTATTTCCTCATTCATTCCAATTTAAACATATACGTCAATTTTATATTTTCAAGATATTATTTGTCAATACATGCTCTTCACTATCACTCCAATCGGAATGACTATGCAATTTTGTTTCTATGATACTGTAAGTGCATTTTGCTGTTTTGTATGAAGTTGAATATATTTTGTTTTTGTTATTGATATGTATATCGTGAATGCACAGCACTATTATCTATTACAGCATACAAAGTATTTGTAATCTAAATGTATCGTTTTCAATACTATGCTGTTATACTGTCAAATATATTATAATTATATATTATAAGTATAAATATACCGGTATTATAAGTTGTATATTTCTGTAATAATTCACAATATCATAATTAAAAAATAAAATGAAAAGATGTAAGGAAATGTTATATGCATTTCATTAAAACAATATATTGTTGTAACAGAACCCAATCTCATAAATGATCCACTTTTAAATTAGATATGCTTACTGTCTGAATTTTTACATTATGCCAATAGAGCGGAACTATTTTTTAAACTAATTTAAAAAAAATAATAATAATTTTACCCAAAAGATAGAGGTCAAGATGTCTTACATAGGACTGAGTTGAGCTACCAATCTGCCTGTAGTCATATGGTTCCCATATTGCAGTGTTCACAGATGCCAACAAAATGTGAAATGTTTCTGGCTCATTTAGTTTCATTCTGTTAAATACGCCTTCATATGTACAAGGAAGACGTGAATATTTCTGTATTGTAGTGTCAAACAATGGAACGTGCCTGTGAATTTATTCAAATTATTTCTAAAGACAAAAATTAACGCTTTCATGCATTTAAAAACTAATTTTTTTTTATCTACTAAATCTCTCTGAAATACTGAAAACAGCAGTATTCAGTATTATACATACTTTATCCATTACTCTGCTAATGCGGATGTCTGCCCTTGAGCATAGTAATTATATATGCTTAAGAAGTGAATAAAACTAAATTCATTTATTGTTTAAAATGTTTTTTTTCAGACATTTTTAAGTAAAGTTTAGGTTTTCAATTCTATTGTTTTTATCGCAGCAAGTGAGTTTTCTAACAGACAATTACTTATTTTTTTTAAAATTTACTCTTTCAACTACATTCAATATACTCAAAAGATGTGCTTGAACGTCTTTAGTAAATGTATTGACAATGGTATTCGGAGTAGGAGAGGTCAACAAATGCAAAGTTTTTCTGCTCAGTTAAGTCTCAGCATGCAAATAACTAACTGCCAAACAGACACCATGACATGATTCTCTATAAATATAAACATGCGGTAATATAACAGTAATGCACTGTTAGACATTTTGGAAAAGAAGACCTGACAATTCTGAAATAAATGCATTCGAAATGCGTTAACATGTATGTAACATATTACTACAATAGTTTACATTGCATGCAGTAATTACCATTTTACTAGAATAACTCTTTTTAAAGTAGCCGAGTGCAAAAATCAACTTTATTCGCATGCAGAGCTGTTGAAAGCATCTATGAAAACATTTATATTTTAAATTAAACATTTATTTAAGTTATGTATTCATATATTCCTACAGTCTAGATTATTTGGCAAATTAGTCTAATCTCATTTTTGAGATCAAGGGAAAATATAATATAGTAGATACTCAACTGAAGCAAATATAATATCCTCCAAATTATATTATCAGAGATATATAAAGTATGACTACCCTTAGAGATGCTATCGCCCAAATAATTATACAGATTGTGTGCTACTCTGCAGAAATTATGTTGTTTGTAAGGAATACATATTAATATTAATAACTGTACCGATTATCTATTGTTAACCCATGCGTTTATCCAAGTTCCTAGTATTGTTTATTACTGTTGGCTCACGGCACAAAATATTAATTTGATTTTGCAATTTAGATTTCTTGAATTTTCAATAGTGGAGAGTCAAGAAATATAACCTTATACAAATGGTGGTACTGGTTGTTAGAGCAAATAGACCAGGGGTTCCCAACCCAGTCCTCAAGTACCCCCTACCAGTCCAGGATTTAGGGATTACTCTGTAGTGCCTAAAGTGTTTTTTTTTTCCTTTTACTAAAAACACCTTATACACAACTGGGTAATCCCTAAATCCTGGACTGGTAGTGGCTTTTTTAAGACTGGGTTGGGAACCACTGAAATAGATGATCTATATAAAATTTGTAATATACATTCAAGTCTCTCCAAAACTCTGCGAAGTACTATATTTTTATCTCATAACATAGGGAAAGGAAAACTGGATCCAACAAGTGGTTGTTTTTAGGGGTAGGACAAAAGGAGACGTACAGAATGAAATGAAAGCCTGGTTGAGAAGGAAAAAACAGAGAGATAAAAAGGGGGAGCCATTTTCCCAGGTCAAGCAAAAAGGTTGGATCCACAGATTCAGTTGTAATGCAGCATCAGTTAGGCAACCAAAAGTCGCCTAGCCACCTGGAAGTGTCTCTAGTGGCTTTCTGATTGATAGCCACTAGAAGCAGTCTTAGTCCTGCAATGTAATCATTATAAAGCAGGACTAAGGGGGACAGGGACATTGCACCCAGACCACTTCAATGAGCTGAAGAGGTCTGGGTGACTATAATGTCCCTTTAAAGACCAGGAGCCTTGAACCATGTCCTCTCAAGTCAGCATTAATAGCAGAGCTGCAGGAACAGTTTTAGAGGGTGTAAATCGCAGTGCTGTCCGAGGTCTTTCAGTGCCTGTTTGTAAAGCTGGACAGGAAAAGAAAATGATCACTTCCCATCTGCCCCTGTAGTAACCTCTCACACAGGAAATAAGTTGCTGAGAGCAGATATCTATAAGCGTAGTTGCGCTCAAGGGAATTTTATGGCAAGACAGGAGGCTTCATATTTGCTTTACTTTCTTTACTGTAACTTCCAGCAGCAAAGAAACAGTTAACAGTAAGCAAAATTTTTTTAACCAATCAGAGTGTACAATAGAGTATGTCCAGTCATCAGGCTCCTCCCAGTTCCTTTTTCTTTGCTGCTAGCCTCCCAGGTGAGTCTATTCCAAGTACAGCACATATACAATTTTCATATATGTATATATTAACATGATTTAAATTCACTCTACTTCACATACTATGCTTAGTAGTGTCATTATTTATTTAAATCAAACAAACTAACAGAACGTTTTCTCACACACAACTGTTCCTTTAAATTTTAAACCGCCGCCTGCTCCCTTCCATTATGGACAGAACCACGTCAGTAATCTGAGGTTTCACTGGATATTAACTACTTGTAGCTATAAGTCTCTTTTCTACATACTAATAGGTGCCTCTGATTACTCAGGCGGTACCTACATCCCCCCCGACCATCCCCCTACCGTCTCCATAGCGATGGGTCCGTCTTCCCGAGGCCATTTTCCCCTCCTTAATTGCGCAGGCTTTCTCCCGCGCTTTACCGCCAACATTCTGATCGTTGGTTGCAGCTTGTTCTCCGTTTCTTCAGCGGCTCTCCAGTGCCTTCTTCTGGTCGTTCAGGTAAGTACATCCAATACATGAAAATAAATATTTAAATTAAACACCACTCTGCTTGTGGATTGCTAATATTAAAGTGATCTTAATCTGTTTTTATTGCAGACTATTTCTAGACACCTAAATCCTTGAATAAGAGGGTGACCCCATCTATACTAAATACTTTTGTCTCATTACTGAGGGTGACCCCCTCTATGCTATATCTTGTCTGCCTCATTACAGAGGGTGACCCCCTCTATATTATATCTTATCTGCCTCATTACAGAGGGTGACCCCCTCTCATAAATATATTAATTTGCCTCCATCTACTGTCTACTGAGGGTGACCCCCTCATTACATTATTTCTATGGCATCTTAATCTGTGGGTGACTCCACGCTCAATTAAAAAGATACAACGCTTTCGTTACGTGCCAAAACATGTCCACCGCCTATTGAATTATTACTACATTTTATATAAATATATAAAAATAAAGTTTATTGTTCTCTACTTTTATATATTACTTGTGGTGACCCCACTTTACCACAATTATGTCAGATTTGCCGGAACCAGCAGTCCCCGCGGAACTCAAAGCTCATAGTGCTACCGCCGGTAAAGGCAAGGTCCCGGCTAAAACGCCCAGATTATCCATCCCAAATACTCGGGATAATAACCCCAATTATAACCCAGACCCATTAGAGGGTTCAACCTCCAACCTGCAACTTCAAGTAGTTGACGAGTACTGTACAGGGTATTCGGATGAGGATTTTCCCTCGCATGAACTAAATGAACCCCCCTCTGACTCCACCATTCTGGAGGATATTTTACTGGATACCCTTGGGCGGCCCTTGTTTGACCCTAGGTACATCAAACACCCACGCTCGACTGAGTGGACCCCCCTAGACCACATTGCTAAATTCTGCATGATGTGGCTGCGTAAGCCTTTAGAAAAGGAAGTGAGAGCTAAGTTAAGAGTGGGATGCCCACAACCTGTTATCCCAGCCAAGGTGGCTTTTACCCCAGAATTTGATCCACTGCTCGTCACCTTCCTATACAAATCCGGGAAAGACCCCCATAAGGGTTTAGAACCAGGCCTGAAGGCAACCCAGGATAAGATGATGGATATGGTAGGACCGCTTATCCAAATATTCAGTATTGCGGATGAGGCTTTGACATGTGGCACTTTAGATGCGCACATGTTGTGTGAATGGGCACAAAGGGCACTATGCCTACTTGGCAAGGCCAACGTAGCCATGTCAACCGAAAGCCGCCCTATACAAAATTGACTCAAAGCTCGCCGAACTAGGCACTAAAGAGCTTGGCCCTGAGGCACAAGGCATGCTGTTTGGAGACAAGTTTATAAAAGAGTTAAGCAAACACGTTGCTGTGTTTACAACGCTTACCAAAGCACAATCCTCCTTACACAAGGTGTTTAGGACCCAGCGTTTTTCCGGGAGAGCCAGCCATTACAGAGGCCGGTCGGCTGGAAGTGTTGCCTTCACAGGCTACAGGCCTCGACTTTCATAACACTGGAACTCGGGCAATACCTGTTTCTACCACAAACACTCCTTCCCCTGACATGGATCTGCTTCCCTCCGCAGTCGCACTCCTAAAGGTAATGGACACTCATTTTTCTCATATACCTATAGCAGGCCGATTAATCCATTTTTCCCAACAGTGGTCTCGACTCACACAGGACCCGTGGATCCTTCAGACCGTGTCTGGCTTCCATCTAGAATTCACAGAGAACCCAGTTCAAATGTCTTTACCTACCCCCCTCAGAATGTCTCAAAGGGACGACATGTCCCTTCAGGTCCAACTCCACAACCTAGTCACCAAGGGTGCCGTCGAACAATCCCTCAGCCCACGAGGTTTTGTGGGCAACATGTTTCTAGTCAAGAAAAAGTCAGGAGAGTTCCGACCTGTCATCAATCTAATAGAGCTGAACAAATTAATCAAATATAGACATTTTAAGATGGAGGGCATCCATCTACTATGAGACCTCCTCTACGAAGGAGATTGGTTCTCCCGCTTCGACCTCAAAGATGCATACCTCACGGTACCAATCACACCAGAACACCGCACCTTCCTCCAATTTCATTGGCGCAAAACACTATGGAAGTTCACCTGTCTCCCCTTCGGACTGTCCTCCGCACCTTGGTGTTTCACCAAACTAATGAAACTGGTGATGGCACTACTCCGTTCACAAGGGATTCGGTCCATCATATACTTGGACGATATCCTCCTCATGGCTCAAGACGAGAAGACTCTAAGTCTCCCTACAGATATGACTTCGGCTCTCCTCCAGAATTTGGGTTTCGTCATCAACCTTCAAAAGTCATCTCTAACTCCGTCCCAGACGATACAGTTTCTGGGATTTCAGATAGATTCGATTCAAGCAGTTCTACAACTCCCTGCTACGAAAATCAAAACCATAAAAAAGGACATCCGGAGATTGCTGGCTTCACCATATCTCCGACTCAAGGATTTAGTCCGCACAATCTTATTACTCTTTGCCTTGGAACTCCACTGGTGGATTCAACATATGGAAGCCTGGAATGGAAGGGCTATCTTCGGCCGACAACCCGATTTCATTCTGGAATCAGACGCCAGCCTCCTCGGATGGGGTGCCAGCTGCTCGGAACGTTCTACCGGAGGCCTCTGATCCCCATCAGAACAGTCTGTTCACATCAATTGCCTTTAATTAATTGCTGGTTCTTTTGCGATCCGCAGTTTTTCCAAGGAAGCCTACAACTGCAGTCTTGACCTGAGGATGGACAATGTCTCAGCAGTATTATACGTGAACCGCCTAGGTGGCTCCCGATCAAAAGTGCTATCAGATCTGATAAAGGAATTATACCAATTCTGCCTGGTAAGGAACATCTCCTTTCGTGCGGAATATCTCCTAGGCTCCGACAATCTCATCGCAGATTGGTTCTCCCGCCACTGGAGGGATTCCAGCGATTGGTAACTGGACCCACAAATTTTTCACCATCTACAGGTTTTGAGAGGGCCATTCAACCTGGACCTGTTTGCATCTCGCCAACCTGAACGCATTCTTCAGCTGGCTTCCAGACCCAGCGTGCCTGGCAGTGGATGCCTTCCTTCAACCGTGGCCAACATCCGGAGCATATGGCTTTCCCCCATTGGCCATGATTCCACGCATGGTACAATACCTCAGAACACAGGGAGTCACCATAACTCTGGTAACCCCACTGTGGCGAACCCAACCATGGTTCCCTTATTTGCGGGAGATGTCAGTGGACTATCCCCTACTCCTACCCACCTCCTACAACCTCTTCAGGGACCCTTCAGGCAACTTCCATCCACTATCACTACAAGGCCACCTTCGGTTAGTGGCCTGGACCATTTCAGGGGATCCTGGAACATCTCTGGACTTTCGGCTGCTGCTCAAGGACTACTATGGGACTCTTGGGCCCCAGGAACAAGACACTCTTATCTCTCAGCGTGGCGACGTTGGAATAGCTGGTGTTTGGGGAGGGACGTCGATCCCTTTTCAGCCTCTTTGATTAACATTATGAACTTCCTGGCATCACTCTTTGAACAGGGTAAGTCCTATCGGTCAATTAACGTTTTCCGTTCAGCCATTTCGGCAGCCCATATCCCCGTTGACAACTCCGCGGTTGGTAAACACCCCTCCATATGTAGACATTTGCGGGGGCATCTGCCTCGCGAGACCCCCGGCTCCCAAATATAATCAATTTTGGGATGTTGCTATTGTATTATCCTTCTTGGAGACTTGGCCCACTAATGGAGAACTCTCTCTTCGACAACTGTTGGCCAACCTGGCACTACTGCTCTGTTTGGTATCTTTTAGAAGAGTTTCGTACATCAGAGCATTTGACGTCCATGCGGTGGACTTTACCCCTGAGGGAGTACACTTCTCCATTACCCGACGCACCAAAACCAATTCATCTACAGTAAGCTACCCTTACTTCCACGACAAACCCATGCTCTGCGTAGCTAGTTGCGTCCGATACTACATCCTTCGCACTAATGACCTTAGACCACAAACGGGCCCCCTACTGGTGTCCTTCGTTCGACCTCACAAACCAGCTTTTTGCCCCACGATTGGATCAAATGGCTTCTAGCCCTAACAGGCATCGACCCATGTTTTGGTGCTCACTCAGTGAGAGGCGCGGCCGCCTCGTCTGCATTTACAGCTGGGGGCTCCCTAACGTAGATCCTCACCTCCGCAGATTGGTCCAGAGAATCCACCTTCAAAACCTTCTATTTTAGACAATGTCCTTATGTATCTAATTCCATCATATCATCGCTTTAAAACAGCAAATATGAAGCCTCCTGTCTTGCCATAAAATTCGGAATTATTCTAACCTTTGTGACCGAATAATCTAAATTTTATTAAAGACGGGAAGCGAATATTTTCCGGCCCACTAATACACGTACCCAACCCAACTAGGTAGGTATTCCGCAACACCTCTATTGACTAAACCAATATTTTACAATCTAAGTTTCAGACCTCTCTTTGCAACTACCTTTACAGTCTTATAACTTAAGACTTGTCAGAATATTGGTTGGAAACTTCATGGTTGGAAACATATCAGCTAGAGTAATTAAGTATTGTTTTTCTCTTATCCAAGAAACCATACTTTCACGACCTCTCTCTCCTTTTTCCTAGTGTGAAAACCCTTCACTACCATCTCAAGGAATTACCTACGTTCTTTCCACATCGTTTACATGGTTGAACTCTTCATCGTTACACCGTTTACGTTTACATGGTTGACTCTGCGGCTGTCGGCTGCATCAAGAAAGAGGAACTGGGAGCACCCTGATGACTGGATATACTCTATTGTACACTCTGATTGGTTAAAAAAAAATTACTTACTGTTTAACTGTTTCTTTGCTGCTGGGAGTTACAGTAAAGAAAGTAAAGCAAATATTCGCCTCCTGTCTTTAATAAAATTTTGATTATTCGGTCACTAAGGTTAGAATAATCTCGAATTGTTGGGGCTTAGGTTAGAGTCAGGTAGGTAAGGGTTAATTTATTAATCTATGTATCTGTAGTGTAGGGCTGATTGACTGTAGTGCAACGCGAGAGCTAGTGTGTCAGTTATTATTATTTTTTTTTAAATGCGGGAGTCTAAGTTTCAATCAGCTAGCACCAGCTGAGGAAGCCTCCTCTCTTCATGTCAATTAGACAGAGAGATAGGTATTGGGGGTAATAAGGTAGCATTTCAGGCTGTTTTGGGGGCAGAACTGAGTAGTAAGAAATTTGGCGTATGTAAAGATTGTTGTGCAAAGGAGTTATTATATGGTTTTGTGGTTTATATATGGTTTCGATTACGACCTTTCTCCAACATATTTCCAACTTATTTCTTTTGTTTGTTTTTTATTCATGTGTTATATGCATTAATAATTCCCATGTAGGAGGAGCAGGGGAAGCTCTCACTGATACACACTGTATAACCAATCCTCATATATCATCAATCGGACTGGTCTACAGAAGACATGGGAGGGTGAGTACTTTGCAAATAGCCCTTAAAACTTCAGCACTCAAAACCTAAACATGAAAATAAACCCTTTACCTTAATCCTATGTTTAAAGGGGCCCTACAGGCACCCAGAACTCTTCATCTCATTGAGGTGGTCTGGGTAGAGGTCATTCTCTCCTTTAGCCCTGAAATGTAGAACATTGCAGTTTTAGAGAAACTACAACATTTACATTGCAATACTAAGACTGACTCTAG